TTGAATAGGGTTTTCTGGTGGAAGAGAGGATAAGACTTCGCAGCAGTTGGACTGTGTGAAGTGAAGAAGATAATAAGGATGATATCTAAGCTGTAAGCCTGGGTGACTGCGAGGATGATGGTATCCTTGACAGTAACGGGGAAGTTAGGAAGAGGGGAGGGTTGTGAGGAGGAGGTAGATAATAAGTTCTCTTTGGGACATGTTGAGTCAAGATGTCTACAAGACATCCAGTTTGAAATACCTGCAAAGTAGGGGTGGAGCCAAGATGGCCAAGTAAAGGCAGGGACTCACTTGAGCTTTCTCAAATTCCCCTCCAAACAACTTTAAAATTATTCCTGGAGTGGCAGTACCAACAAAAGGCTAGAGTGAAACAATTTTCCAGCCCAAGACAACTTAGAAGGTCAGCAGGAAAAATCTGTCTCACTGGAATGTAAATGGAACACAGTCCGGCACAGTGCAGACCACCCTCCAGCAAGCCAACTGTAAGTCTGGGGAGCAACTGAATCAGCAGCAGCAGTAGCTTCTGAAACTGTCACCACACAGATGGTAAGGGGGTTGAACAACTGGTCCAAAGGAGATTACAGAGGACCCTTTGCTGGTGCTAGGCGTGGGACTCTGTTACATTGTTCACAAGCAGTTCCGGTTGCAGGCACAGGGCAAGGAGGAGTGCTAGTACACTAGAGTGCCCATGGGCAGAGCCCTGGTCACAGTTCCAGGGTGGAAAAGAGTGCTAGTGGTTACTTACAGACCTGAGTAGGCCAAGAGAATAATGACCATACTTCTCCTTAGATCATGCTACCTTGGAAGAACAGCAGCATGAAAAGCCTGAAGCTTGGGACAGTTCCCCCTCCACCCCAAGAGCAGAGCCCGATTTTAATATAAAATTAAAAGCCGAGAAATAGATTGAAAAAATGAGCAAACGGCAGAAAAAGAACCTCACCATAGAAAGTTACTGTGATGACAGGGAAGAGCAAAACCCACACTCAGAAGACAATGAAATCAAAGCGGCTACATGCAAAACCTCAAAGAAAAATGCAAATAGGTCTCAGGAGCAAAAAGAACTCCTGGAAGAGCTCAAAAATGATTTAAAAAAAAACAAATCAAAGAGGTAGAGGAGAAATTGGAGAAAATAGAGTGATGCAAGAAAGTCATGAAAAAAGAATCAACAGTTTGATAAAGGGGGTATAAAAAATTACTGAAGAAAATAACATCTTAAAAAACAGAATAGGCCAAATGGTAAAAGAGATTTCTGAAAAGTCGTTGAAAATGTGAGATTGGAGGTAAGGAGAGAATTTAGGGTTGTACAATTAGATCTGAGAGTAATCTGCATAGACATAATAATTGAAACTGTGGGTGCTGATAAGATCATCAAAAGAAATGGTATAGAGGAAAAAGAGAAGATGGCCCTGGACCAAGCCTTGGACACCCCCAGATGGAGATCCAGCAAAGGAGACCGGATTGATTAGGCAGGTGAGAGGAGAACTGGAAGAGAGCAGTGTCATGAAAACCTGGAAAGAAGAGAATATCTAGGAGGAGGGTGATCAACAGAACCAGAGGCTGAAGAGAGGTCAAGAAGGATAAAGACTGAGAAAAGGCTATTAGATTTGGCAGTTAAGAGGTCATTGGTGACCTTGGAGAGAACAGTTTTAGTTGAATAATGAGGTCAAAAGCCAGACTTCAGAGAGTTAAGAAGAGGGTGAGAGGAAAAGAAGGGCAGGCACCTAATGTAGATGGCCTCTTCAGGGAGTTTAGCCACAAAAGGGAAAGTAGGATGAAAGATAGTAGGGAGGTGGGGCCATGGATATAGTGCTGGGCCTGGAGTCAGGAGGACTCTATGAGTTCAAATGTGGCCTCAGACACTAGCTGGTGGGTGACCCTGGGCAAGTCACTGAATCCTGTTTGCCTCAGTTTCCTTATCTGTAAAATGATCTGGAGAAGGAAATGGCAAACCACTCCAGTATCTTTTGCAGAAAAAAAAAAAAAAAGGAGTCACAAAGAGACAGACGTGACTGAAAAATGACTGAAAGGCAACCGCACAACCAGGAGGGAAGGATGGACCAAGTGAGGGGTTTGAGGATGGGGAGTCTGGGCATGTTTGTAGGCAGTAGAGAAGCAGCTGGTAGACAGCCTGAAGTGACTAGGGATGACAGTGGGGCCAGTCTGTTAGAGGAGACAGGATGGAATGAGGCCACTTCATTTTGTGAGACAGGAGTGAAAGAAGAGCTAGTAACAGAAGGCATCCGAGTGGTGACATGTGAGGAGGGGGGCAGCAGAGGGTCTTGGTGAATGGCTTCAAATTTTTCAGGGAGACAGGATCCTCAGTTGAGAGGGTGGTGGGGATGGGAAATCACGGGAGGCTTGAGGAGGGATGTAAAGGTTTGGAAAAGCTGCTTTGGTGAATGGGATAGTGGTCAATCAGGATTGCCTTGCCACATTGAGGGCCTGTTTGAAATTATTTAACATACATTTGTAGTCATGGTTTTGTGTTTTTCTCTATATTTATTAAGGCAGTGCATGGTAGGAGTAATCCAAGGCTGAGACTTGGCAGGACAAGAGACTAGAGATAAGAGGACAGTGTAGAATTGGACCTGGCCTCCAATGACTAGCAGTATTCTCGCCCCATCATTCCTTTCTCTATCCCAGTGACTTTGAGCCACCAGTGTTCAAATCCCGTTTCTGGTCACCTGCTGTCTACTCATTAATTCACATCTCCTGTGACCCTTGTATCAGGGTGGAGAGATGCTGATTGTGCAGGGATGATGGGAAAGAACCTGGAGCTGGAAACGTTGGAGGAGATACTGAGACTGAAGAGTAAGGTTAGAGGTTGTAAGGCAGAGGGAGAGGTAAAATGACAAGAGACATTGGTCAGACGAGGGAATTTGAGTTCCCAGATGTGGGAGTGGTGCGTTTGTGGGCAAGGGGAAGATCTCAGGGATGACCATCTTTATGTGAGGCACAAATAACCTTCCCCTCTGTCTTCTCAGAAGCTCATTGAGATCACTAGGTCAGTTACATTTCTGTTTCTTCCAGCTTCTGCTGATGGCGCACCCACTTACCCACACCCACCCCTTTGGATGGTCTTTATTAGTTGCTATGACAGAGAAATTCGTCTCCTGGTGACTCGCCTAGTGAGGAGCTTCTTGTCCTTGGTGAGGCAGGGCCTTGGGCTGTAGGCACGCTGCCTGTCTCAGGATCTACACGTGCAGCTCTTCAGCTTGGCAGGCCGTGCCAGCACTTGAGATGCACTTGGAAAACTTTTGAGAGCCTGTGGTCATTTCCATGCCAGGCTGCAGCAGAGGAGGGCTTCAGGGTGGTAATAATAATCCTAATACTACAAGGAGCCCAGGTTTCTTCCCTCCATGCCTTAGGTAGCTGGTCGTGGTGATTAGGCCCCTGTTCAAGGCTTTTGTGCTCCGTCCTGCCCTGGTAGGGCTTTAGCAAGCTCCTCCTTGTCTGCTGACAGAGCCCGAGCTCGCATTCATACCACAGTCATGGGGATGTGGGGCCTGGAAGAGACCTTGGAGGTCCTTGCATCCTTATTTTACAGATGAGGAAGCAGTCCCAGAGAACAAAGTGACTTGCTCAGCATCACTCAGGTAATAAATGACAAAGCTGGCATTTGAACTTGGGTCCTCTGACTGCAGGTTCTGTTCAGCAAGTTAGTAAATTAGCCAGAATTTCTTTAGCATTTCTCCATGCTAGTGGCTGTGTGTTCAGGCATAAAGAATGAAACAATTCCAACTGCAAAGGAGCTTACCTTGTGGCAGGAGAGACAGGCCCAAATCTAAGAATGGACAGAATGAACACCAGGGAGGGGAGGGAAAGCCCACCCTTGCCATTCTGGAACAGGAGACAGCCTTCTTATAGTTGGTTCTTAGCTTAGATTTCAGGGGGTCTGTGAACTTGGATGGGAAAAAAAGTCCCCTTTATTTTCACTACCCTGTAACTGAAATTTAGCATTTCTTTCAATTATTTAAAAACATGATTCTGAGGCACATTCCCTAGGCTTCACTAGACTGCTGTCTGCGGGGGTCATAACTCACAAAAAGGCCTCTGTTGTTGAAGGTGGGACTTAGGAAGAGCATGATTCTGTGAAGTAGAGAGGAGGAGGGGCATTCCAGGCAAGGGGGACAGCCTGCCAGTGCAAAGGCATGGAGGTAGGAGATGGGGGCCCTGAGCAAGGAGCAGAGAAGCTCTGTTTGTCTGCCTCATGGCACATGGGGGAGTGATAGACAATGAGGCTGGAACGAGAGTTTTTTTTGAAACAAAGATTTCTGAAGTGCCAGCTGCGTGCAGGGCCTGGAGCTGGGCCCCACTGCAACACACTGCTCATACTGGTGGCTCTGGCATCAGTGGCAACATGAGATTCCCAGTTGGGAAGATCTTGAGGACTATGAAGTTGTTCTGTTGTGTCATATGTGCTCCGCCTTCAAGTTTGGAGTTAAATCTGAGAACAGTGCCTTGGAATACAAGGAAATGAAAAAGACTGCTGAGGACCGAGGCACCGTGTGTCTTTTGGACCTGACCTGTGGTTTCATTGGGGTGGGGATCTACCTGTGAGGAAATTCCTCTGCAGATTCCGAGTGCTTCCCCACCCCCCAAGGCCAGCTTTAGTGAGTGGCCTAGGGCACCGAGAGGAGGGACTTGCCCAAGGTCACAACCAGGAGGACTGGGGCCTAGGTCTCCTGACTTGGAAGCCAGCTCCCAGGCCGCTACGGCACAACACGGTCGTTTTGTAGTAGAAGAGAAGAAATAATTCACATTTTCATGGCACTCTAAGGAGGCCCAGCCTTTCAGTAATAGGAAGGGGCAGGACCAGAATTAAAACCCAGATCTCTCCAGACCGCAGTGGCCCCCTTGCCACTAACTGCATGATAGAGCTGTGGCAGATGTAGTTACTAGATGTGGGAATGTGCTCCAAGGCTTACATTGCTGTCAGTGAAGCATTCAGAGTTCAGTAACCTAACTCTAATGAAGTGTAATTGTTTTTGTCTTTCCAGAAAAAGCAAACAACTTTCCTCCACTGCCAAAGTTTATCCCTCTGAAGCCCTGCTTCTACCAGAACTTTTCTGATGAGATTCCAATAGACCACCAATTTATCGTGAAAAGGATTTACCATTTGTGGATTTGTAAGCACTTATTGGAGCCATTTCAAGGAAACCTGATGGGATAAGTAGAAAGAACAGTGAACTGCATCTGTTTGATTTAAAAGAACTGCTTTAAACCATGTGAAATGACACAGTTAAGGGTCAGGAATATTACAGAGCTGGGAGAGTTTTTAGAACATAGAATGTCAGAACTGGGGGTGAGGGGGAACCTTAGAACTTTGAAGAACAGAGCTAGGAGGGCCTTTGGACCCCAGACTGTTGAAACTGGGAGGGCCCTTAGAGATAGTTTGATGAATGAGCAAACAGGACAGTCACCTGGAAGTTATTCATTCATTCATTCATTCATTCATTTATGCATTCACTTATTTATATATTTAGGGCCTAGAAGGCAGAACTAGTAGCAGGAGGCAGTTCTAGGTTGTCTGGAAAACCTTCCTAAGCAGAACTTTCCAAATGTGGAGTGGGTTGCCGTGGGAGGTAGTAAGTTCTCCCTCCTTGGGGGGTTTCAGGCAGAGGCTAGAGGACCATTTGTCCAGTATGCTTTAAAAATTATTTTTCACATAAGGATTCAGTGCAGTTCAACTAACATTTATTAAGTGTTTCTGGTGTGCTCTCAGGCACTGTACCAGGTGCTAGGGATACCAGAGGAAAGGGAAACAATTGGAGAACTTAGATTCTCCTGGAGAGAGAGAAAGAGAACATGCAGACGTAGCAGTGAGCCCAACAGACATTCAGAAGCTTTAGATAAATTGGGCCTCAGTAACTGAGGACATAAGCAAAGCCCTCGTGCTGCAGGAGGCCTCTGGCTGGTGCTACAGGCCCAACATCGAGGGCCCTGTATGCCAGGAGCTGAGCTTGGCAGGAGTTTGTGTGATGTGGACACGGGACCGCCAGGCTTAGGCTGGCCAGCATCTGGAGGGGAGGAAGGGAAGTTGTATGGAAGAGGACTGGAAGGTGAGTGGGGTCTAGCTTGGGAAAGGTTTTACATGCCAGGCTGAGGCGTTTAGGCTTTATCTTAGAGGCACTAGAGAGCCCTGATGTTGTTTGAGGGGGGAGGTGACACAGAATGGCCTGTTGGGCACAAGTCCCTGTAAGAGGTAATGATGGCCCAAGCTGTGGAAGGAACTGGGCATGGGGAATAGTTAGAGATGCTGTGAAGACAGAGTCTGCAAAAGTCGACAGCAGATGGATTAGGAGCGAGGTGGGAGAGGCAGGGGACAGAAGCAAGGTTGTGAACCTGGGTGGCTAGAAAGGTTTCTTTTCTTTTCTTTTTCTCCTTGGGGAAGGGGGAAGAGGTTAAGATTTCTGTTTTAAATACGTTGGATTTGAGATGCCTGTAGGGCATCTACCTGGAGATATCAAACCAGCAGTTGATAGTATCAGAGAGGAGCTTAGGAGACCTAGTAGGGCTGGATAGATAGATCTGGGAATCATCTGCCTAGAAGTGATCATTGAACCAATGAGCGATGATGAGATCACCAAAGGAGAAAGTATGGAGAGAGAAGAAAGGCTGGCCCAGGACTTTGGGGGATGTCACCCTTGTTGGGAGGGCGAAAGATGATGTTTCACCAAAGGAGACTGAGAGGGGAGTGTCCAGGCAAGGATGAAGAGCTCTAAGAGGATACAAGTCCAGGAGCAGGGAGGGGGCATTGGGATTGACCTGATGTTGTGAAGGGATGCGAGGAGAGGGAGTCCAAATATAGGATGGTAGCCTGAGTGGGCAGCAAGGCCGAGTGAAGATTTTTTTTTTTAATGGGGAAAGATTTCTATGAACTGATGCAAAGTGAAGTAAGCAGAACCAGGAAAACAGTGTACACAAGTGTCTACAGCCATGTAAAAGGAAACTCTAAAGAAACAAGCTCAGCCGAGACAGAAGTGCCCTGCACCGTGAGGTACGATGGTCCGGTTTGGCCCCAGAGCAGAGAGCAGAAGGCGTGCCCACACACACAGCCCGCTCACAGAAATGAAGGACTGTGGGTATAGAACATTGCATACATTGGTTTGACTCTGTCAAAATGAGACAGAGAGAGAGAGATACTTGGAAATGAATGTGATAGAAAAAACAAAAGCATGTTTGTAAGTGGCAGGGAAGGAGCCTGTGAATAAGAAAAGATTGAAGGTTAGAGAGACAAAAGAAGGAGACCAGAGGAGGTGGGTACAAGCCAGGGCACAAGAAGAATGGCTTGGCCTAGGTAAGAAAGAGAAGGGGCCACCTGTTTGTCAGAAGTTGGATGTGAGGAGGAGAGAATGGAGGGGTCAGCCAGAGTGATTTTGGTGTAAGAACTCAAGGAGAAGGAACCTGCTCCAGAGAGTCTCTTTGGGGCTGGATTCACTGGCCCCTGTGGCTCCCCCTGTTACTGCCCTTCCCCCCTCCAAATCCCATTTAGTCCTGTCATCACTGAGGGAATCTTACTAATCAACGTTCCTTCTCTTAGGCATCGCTCCCATCTGGCCCTTCCTGGTCCTACTGCAGTGACCCGCTTCAGTCCTTGTCCTTTATTTGGCCTTGGACTTCCTAGCCCCCTGCTCCCCCTGCTGCTTCCTCTCTCCCTCCTCCGAGCTATCCTGCACAAGTTCACTGGCTCATCTTGCTGACCTGAGCTCTGATCAGGCCCCTCTTGTCCAGATATCTGCCTAATTCTCTGCTGCCATAAACCTGCTGGCCTCGTTCCCAGGACTCTTCTACCCACTCCCATTGACATGGTGCTTCGGAGCCCACAAAGCGCTCACTCACTCGTCTCACAACAAAGCGTCTGCCAGCGGCATTGGGCTCCAGACAGACAGAGCCCCCTGTACCAGGGCCCAGAACCCTACGCAGCCTCCCCCCATTCTCTGCCTGTTGAAATTCTTACCCCTCGTTCAAGGCCCTTTCCTCTGAAGCTTCCCTGATCACCCAAGCTGGAAGTTACACACTCAGGCCTTCGACCTAGGGTTTCCTTCTGGGGTCAGGGTATCCTGTGTCCAGGAACTGGAGTTCAAGCCTCTGGTTGTGTCTTTCAAGGCCTGGCTAATTCATCTTTAATATACCTCAGACATTTGACTTTCAGTGCAGGTCTTAAATGGCAGGTGTTTGCAGTTTAACAGTTGATGGGATCTGACATCTAGGTGATAGAGCATTTGTTCCACATGGCAGGTTTTAGTGCAAGTTCCTTTTGTAATTGCATCTCTGAATTGTCAGTCCCAAAGGTCTCACAAGGAGATAGTTCTTAAGAAAATATTTTCTTAGAATGTGGGATAAAAACTGAACCTGTGGTTCCCCTGACAGAAACTCATGGGTGAGGAGACGCCCTCTGCAGGGTGACATCTTCTGAAAATTATCATCTTGGAGAGTTGCCTAAAGCATTGAGAGGGTAGGTGACCTGCCCGGGGTCACCCAGCTGCCTTGTGTATCTGAGAGGGGATTTGAATCCAGGCTTTCCTGACTTGGAGCCCAGCTCTCTGTCCCGTGTGCCAGGCAGTGTGCTGTACACGGGGCGTGTCGTGTGTTGTACTGGGGAGCTAGATTGCCACTCTGGTCTGTCCTGTGGAGATCAGGCAGCCGTAGGGTCTGTGCGTGGAGCAAACATGCACAGATCTAAAGGATCGGAGGTCCAGAGCTGGAGATGGTTGTGGGACAGCTCTGATGGGCCCCTCCTCATGACCGGGCACCTAGGGAGGTGCCAAAGGCACCTCAGAGACCATCTTGTCCAATTCCCTCATTTTATAGATGGGGAAACTGAGCCCCAGAGAGGTTAAGGTCACAAAGGTCATAAATGTGCTTTCTGACCCCAGAGCCAGGGCTCTTTCTCCTGTACCCCACTACCTCCTAAGCTGAATGTACAGTATAAATTTCAGCCATTTATATTAAGTGAAAGTTCTGTGGGTCTGTGGTTTTTCCCTCATAAAGAATATCACACACACACACACACACATACACACACACACACACCCACGACATCCCTAGCTGGAGGTTGCTTCTTATCGCTGCTGTCTGTGTATACCTGATGTCCAGTGATTTGATAAGAGAGCCGGAGGCCCGGGTGTGAGGGGGAGGGAGCTGGACTCCAAGTCAGCCAAGGGATCCCGGTTCGATGCTTTTGGTAACTGACCAACCAACTGACTCATCAGAGCAGCGCACTGATTTGTCTGTTTGCCCATCTGCAAAGTGGGCACCATTATCCCCAAGCTGCCTAGTCACGGTCAGGGGAGGCGGCAGCAGGGGCACATCCGTCTCAAAACGGAGAGCCAGGAAGGAGCAGAGAATCTATTGAAAGGATTAGAAAGGGATAAGCGTCCAGCACTCCCTGCCGAGGAAAAGTAGCTGAGCTGTGGGTCATTCTGAGAAGGTGAAAAGGGGTTGTTAGGAGCAGAGGAGAGGACCGGGTGTAGTACCTGCTGCTGCATCTGGAAATGGGCCAATGGGCCGCGGGGGCATTGTGTGGTGGGAGGAGAGATGGCACCTTCAGTGCAGGCTGGAGTGAAGCCAGCTTTGGTGGCTGCTCATAATCTGGGACAGCTGCATTTTGGGATAATTTCAAAAGCAGGGCGTTCCCTATTATAGTCTCCTGTTTGAGGAACACATCGCCCGCATGGAGATCTCCAATGGGATATTTTTCCCCCTGCAGTGTTTTTGGTTTTTTTTTTTTAAAGATTGTGTTTTCCTCTCTTACCCGGGCTAGAGGTGCAGCAGCTGCTTCCCAGGTCTGATCCCAGTACTGATTAGTACAGAAGCTTTCTGAGCTGAGCCGGGCTGCCTTTCCTTCTCTCTGCCCCGTGGGGGCTCACTACATGGTGCTGGACTTAGTAAAGACCCCAGATGGGCAGTAGCCCTCCTGCAGCTCTGGTTTTATCTCTGTACTTTTTTTCTTCTGGTCATTAAAAAAAAAGTTTTAGGGGCAGCTAGGTGATGCAGTGGGTAGAGGACCTGCCCTGGATTCAGGAGGACCTGAGTTCAAATCCTGTCTCAGACACATAACACTTACTAGCTGTGTGACCCTGGAGAAGTCACTTAACCCCATTGCCTAACTGTCCCCCCCCAAAAAAAAAAGTTTTAGTAATTCTTTTTTTGCTTAATGTCTCATGACCACCCACTGACCTGTTTTCAACTCTCCCCAAGTAAAAGTTCTTCATTGGGACATTTCTGAAAAGGAACAGCTCAGGAATTTTGACCCTGGTCTAATTTTTCCATATTCAGGAGAGCTTAGATAACCAGCAAGCATTAATTTAGCACCTACTGTGTGCTAGGCACTGTGAATTACAAAGACAACACGTACAACAACAACAATAATAACTGGTGTTTATAGAGTGCTTTAAGATTTATAAAGCACTGTAATGTGAGATCTCATTTTAATCCTCACAACAACCCTAGATGCTATTTTTAGACCCATTTTATAGACGAGGAAGCTGAAGCTGAGAACAGTTAAGTAACTTGCCAAGGGTCATGTAGCTAGCAAATATCTGATGCAGGATTTGAACAAGTCTATACAGGATATATAGAAAACAACTCCAAAGTAATTTGGAGAGCTCGCTAGGAGTTGGGGGGAACAGAAAAGGCTCCACGTAGAAGGCAGTACTGGAGCTGAGGAGGGAGTGCATTCCTGGCATGGGATACAGCCAGTGCAGAAGCACAGAGATGAGAGTCAGTAGTCATATAGAAAGAGCAGGAAGAAGTACAGTGTGGGTCTCTGTGGAGCGTGGGAAGGGAGGTTAGCAAGGTTGGCTGGGAGCTTTAAAATGCCAGACGCAGAAGCGGATGTTTTATTGTAGTTGTGTTTGGGAGCCCCTAGAATCTGTTGGGCTGGGGACATGGAATATGGGTTGGGAAGGAGGGCCAGTTAAGAGGCTGTTGCCCTGGCCTTGATCAAAGGTGTGGCCATGTGAGGAGAGAGAAGCGTTGAGGTGTACGTGATGCTGTGGAGGGGTGTGGAGGGGGTGTGGAGGGTGAGTCAGAATGAGGGGGCGGGTATAATGCTCAGGGGAAGATGCTGGGAGACAGGCAGAGGCGGCTTTGTTTTCTCAGTAAAGTCGAAGGCTTGGTCCTTAGCTGAGGGGCAGGGGAAGGGTACAGGTGGGCACTGGGTGGGTGGAGCAGCCTTGTGGGGAGTGGGCCAGAGCTGCTGTCAGGGTAAATCGTGGAGGTGTAACCTGCTGCAGTGAGGGGCTGGCCAGTGGGCTTGGGCTGCTCAGCTCCAGAAGGCTGTCCTCGGCCTCGCGGGTGACAGTGGGCAGGGGGCCCCAGTGGGGGTTGGGCAAGGCTTGGACCAGCAGTAGGGGGAGGGGGAGGCCAGAGTGCTTTTAGTGAGCCCGAGGCCTGTGCTGCTTTGTTTTCCTCTCTCTAGTTTACTGTATCACCCTCGTGGTGAATCTCGTCGCGTGCCTCGCTTGGTGGATTGCCGGTGGTGACGGAGTGAACTTTGGCCTAGCCGTGCTTTGGCTGCTTCTCTTCAGTCCCTGCAGCTACGTGTGCTGGTTCCGGCCTGCCTACAAAGCCTTCAGGTAACATAGAAACCTTTTTTCCTCCATGAATTTTTGGCCCCTCATTATTCCATAGGATTATAGAATTTTAGAGCCAGAAGGGACCCAAGCAGAGGGTGCAGAGAGAAACCTCAGAGTAGAGGACGTTAGCGCAGAAAGAAACGCAGAGCATGAAAACTTAAGTTGAGCTGGAAGAGATGTTATAGCATAGAGCAAAACTTGACAGGCCCATAATGGAATATAAAAACATAGAATGTCAGAGCCAGAAACGACTTCAGATCCTAGAGCATCGGAAATAAATGGGATCTTAGAACAGGGAACTAAAGAGGATCGTCACAGGGGCCGCTAGAGACTGTCTAACCATAAGAATGTAGAATCAGCGTTAGAAGGAACCTTAAATCTAGTTCATTCTCCTCTCTTTATAAATGAGGAAACTGAGGCTTATGGTCACACTGGAAGGGAGAGAGTCAAGATTTAAACCCATATCCTCTGACTCTAAATCTCCTGTTCTTTCCATCATTGTCGTCATCATCATCATCATCATAGCAGCTGACATTTAGATAGCATTTACTAGGGCCAGGTGCTCTGCTAAGGGCAGGCGTACCAAAAGAGGCTGAGGACAGTCTCGCAGTGTAATGGAGGAGACAACAAGGAGACAGATACGTGCAGAGTAAGCTCTGTGCAGGAAGCCAGGGAGGTCATAGTTGGAGCAGAGGAGGGAGAGGGCTCCAGGCTTGGGGGACAGCCAGAGAGAAATGCCAGATCTGAGAGGGGAAGGTCTTGTTGGTGGAACAGCCAGGAGGCCAGGGTCACTGGATCAAAGGGTGTGTGTCTGGAAAGGTGGCAGAAGACTGGGGCAGTCGGAGGGGGCTAGGCCAGGAAGGATTGTAGGAGAGGGGAACCTAGCAAACGAGTCTTGGGATCCTAGGACCAGGGCTGGAGGGAACCTCTGAGGCCATCTGTCCAAATGAAGGCCCTATGAGGTTAGTGATTGGTCTAAGTCACACAGGTAGTAAGCATCAGAGGTGGGATCTCTCCGTTCCTCATTAGAATATAAGCTCCTTCAGGACCTGGGCCGTTTAGTTTTTGCCTGTGTTACCAATGCCTCTAATCCATCCCTGAGTTAGGGGGATGTCTACCCCCAGCGTGTGAAGACCTCTCTGGGCAGAATGGGCAGATGAGAACAGTGTGTCCCAGTGTCCCAGAGCAGGCACTGTGGGTCCTTTGAGCTCTATCAGACGTTGAAGATGCTGAGGTCACCATCCACTACATCCCAGCCATCCCCAGCCATCTTGACTCTGTCCTGCCGCTGGACATCAATGACTCTGTGCAGCTCTGCCTCACTGAAATCCAATTCCCCCGTGAGCCGAGACGTTGCTGTCTGATGCCATTGATCTTCTTCAGAAACGAAGGACAAACAACAATGTCTCCAGGGCCTAGCACAGTGCCCTGCATATAGTAAGGAAGAGAAAGAGGAAAGGAATATGCAGTTATGTCACTCCTACTTTGTGCCAGGCATTGTGCTAATCACTTTATAAATATGGTCCTTGAAACAACCCTGAGAGGTAGGTGTTACTCCCATTTTACAGTTCAAGATACTGAGGCAACAGGGTCACACAGCTGGGAAGGGTCCAAGTCGAGATTTGAATTCAGGTTTTCTGCTCTCTCCACTCTGCCCTCTGGCTACCTCTATTAGTAGTAAGGTAATAAATGTTGAATAAATTCAATTGAATTAAACAAACATTTATTATGTATGTATGTGCCTCCACTGCTATCTTGCTCTAATGACATATGATATGGTCATGACACATGACTCTTATTCTTTAGAGTTATATGAGCGGAGCCCAAATCTAGCAGGTTCTACCAAGTTAGACAGCCTTTGAGTGTGGGTCAGGTGAAGAGCATGTGGGTCTGCTGTTTTGAAGGCTAGCTTTGCAGAGCTTGGAGACACTCATCACCCGGCTGGCCACAGGAGGATGCTTTCTTGGCTATGGCCCCTCAAAGATACCTCCTGGGAAAGAAGGAAGTGACTCTCTGTATAGGGGAGGGCGCCTCCACACTTGAGGGAAGCAGGATCACCAATCAAAGAGAGCTTGCAGTGTGTACATTACTGGGCTTGGCAGTGAGCCAGATACAAGTATCACGAGGTTATTGAAGCGCAGCTTATCTGATAACACAACACCCACATCTTTAGTATCACTGATTGTTAGAGCTAGGAGGGCCTCTCGGGATCATCTAGTCCAGACCTGCACAACATAAGACCCATGGGCCCCAAGCAGCCGCCAAAGGATTTCAGGCAGCCCGTGAAAAATGTAGGCTTGCCACTGCACACTCTCCTGTTTGTCACATGACCCTCGGCAACCAACCATCATCAGTCTGTCTCCAGTCTAACCTGTCTGCGGCCTGAAGAAGGTTAGCCGATTTTAATTTTGGCCCCTACCTACTGCCAAATTGTGCAGGTCTGATCTAGTCTGATCAGATCAGGAAAGAGAAAACTGAGGCCCAGGGTTATTGGTCTTAGAGTTAGGAAATAACAGAACTGAGATTCAAGTTAAGTCATCAAGTGTTTTAAGTACCACTTACGTGGTATCCACCATGCTAAGCCCTGGGAATACAAAGAAATTATGGGATCTTCCCTCAAGGAGCTCACATTTTAATGGGAGAACTAACATGCAGACGACTCTGTTTACATACAGGCTACATACAAGATAAATTAGTTAATCTCAAATGGAAGACACTGACATTAAGAGAGATTGAGACAGGCTTTGTATTACAGGCACAATTTGATCTGAGTCTTGAAGCTAGGGAAATGAAGGAAGCAGAGGGGTGGAAGGGGACAGTTCTGCCATGAGGGACAGTGAAAACCCTCAGTTATGTATGAGGAAGAGTGAGGAGGCCAGTGTCACTGAATCACAGACTATGTGTGGGAGGGCTGAGGTTCCAGAAGGATTCTGGGAGGAAGGGCTCTAACAGCTCAATACAGAATGTTATATTTGAGTTAGAAGTAAGAGTATGACCCTGTGTGCTTATTAAGTGGGGGAGGGGTGGATCAGACCTGTGCCTTAGGAAAATCATTTTGGTGGCTGAATGGAGGATGAACTGGAGAGGGAAGAGACTAGGGTATTCTCACTAATACAGTGGCAGAGAAGAGAGGGGACTGTATATGGGAGCGATTAGGAAGGGAAAATCATTAGAACCTGGCAGCTTGTTGGATGTAAGGGGTGAAAGAATGAGGAGGGAGAGGATCCCTAGAAGGATGGTGGTACTTGGGACAGTCCCATCTAATTTAGGAAGAAGGGGGATTTTGGAGAAAAGATGATGAGTTCGTTTTGGGCATGTTGGATTTAAGCTATCTACAGGGCCATCCATTTGACAATATCCAGTAGGCAATTGATGGTGCTACGCTAGAGGAGAGAAGTTGACTGAATCTGATTCCTGTCCTCATGGAGCTCACAGTCTAGTAGGGAGAGACAACGTAGAGAGCTATAAGACAAAATGATACATGAAAGGTGCAAGTGTTGAATGATCTTTTGGGAGAAGGATCATTATTGGGGTGGGGGGATCAAGGAAGGCTTCAGGGAAGAAGTAATACATTAACCAGGCCTCAGAGAAGGAACAGGATTTCAGCTGATGGAAATGAAATAGGGGAAGACTTTCCCATTATGGGGAACCGTGTGAGTATTGGAGAGTTGGGAAAAGGGCGGGGACAGCAAGGATCATGTCTGAGGAACAGCAGGCAGCCTGCTTTGGCTGGAGCTTAGATGCAAGCAGGATAATCATGGCTGAGGGGGCTACCAAGTAATGAGTAATGGAGGCCCGAGTTCAAACTTGATTCAGCAGGCAATGGGAAGTCATTGAAGATTCACTTATACACAATACCAAGAATTATTTCCTGGTTTGGTCATTTTGGACTGTCTAGGGAGATATAAGTAGCTCCTCATACAACTCAGAATATGTAGTATTATTGTGCTCAGTGAGGAAATCATTGGACTTGGACCGGAGTTCAACTCCCAGCTTCCGTACTCACAAGCTGAGTGACTGTGAGCTAGAGTGGAGACGTGAGTACTGGTCCAGCCAGGGTCTGCAGGTGGTTGTGAAGAACAAAGAGGAGAATGTCTTTGTTGAGTGCTTCATAAGTAACCAGTGGGAGGTTATATTGCTGCTGCTCTTGGATATGGTTATTGGGAAATGGCAGGATGGATGTGTTTTTTTTCCAGTTTGATAGATATGAGCTAACAGGTAGCCTGGTAGCAGAGCTGTGGGAAATCCTTCTTGCCAAAGTCCAGCACTGTTTTAGGTAGAGCACACAGCACCAGCAAGTCAAGAATCTTAGAATTTAAGAGCTAGCAAGAATTTGGGGGGAGCATGTATTCAGATGTCAGCATTGTGCAGAGGATGAAACTGAGCCATGAAGGTCCAAGTTGACTTTCTTTTATGGGCTGGTTGCTTTCCAGAGCTGAAAGGTAGCCTTGCAAACATGGTCCTTTGCTGAAGGCACTCGAGTCCTTCCTCCCACTGCGACAGGGATTCCTAACCATCTTTATATTCTGCTGAAGCCTATGGAGCCCTTCTCAGAGTCATGTTGTTAAATCCAGAAAATAAAATACAGAGGATTATGAAGGGCACCACTTCTGTTGAAATAGTTATCAAAATATTTATTTTTAAAAAGCATTTATGGACCTCTAGACTCAGTTAAGCTCTTTGAAGGCAGAGCCTCTGTTAACATTCATTTTGCATGTGGGGACACACACACACACACACACACATACAGAGAGACACACACACACACAGGCGCGCATGCCCTCGCCCATTCTTTTGTAGAGTCTAGGGAGGCATAAGTGTATAATATTGAATATAATATTAGATTTTTTTTAATGTATTGGTCCATTTTGCTGAATTTTTATTTTTATTTTTTAAATTCTTGTTTAAAAGGGATGACTTTCTGGGCAAGGGAGGGATACAGATCAAAATTTAGGCCATGAAAAAACAACAAAATTTCAGTACAAATCTGTTTTAGGAAAAAAAACCTATTGTATTTCTCCTCAGTGCCATGTACCAGAACTTGGACATAATACATGCTTAATAAGTGCTGAGTAAGTGATTGAATAAATAAATGAATGAATTATAAAATGTTCTTTAGAGAAAGAGACTTCAATGATTAGTGACTCAGTCTGTAATTAGAGTCTAGTTTTTCATCTCATCGCTGATGTTACCCTTGCTGCAACTGAGCAAATATTTATTAAGCACCTACTGCGTACAAGGCATTGTGCTAGTTGCTGGAGATACGACAAAAATGAAAAACATCCTAGGAGATCGACTTCTTTCCTCCCTGCGCAAATCCTGCTTCTCCAGCTGTTTACCCCTCATATCATTCCCCTTTCTTACTAAGCTTGCATTTCTTCTCATCTCTCGGCTGCTTCTTTAATGCCTAGAAGGACAATCACGTCTCCCCCATTATCAAAAAACCTTCCTTTGATCCATCCATCCCCAGTAGCTGTTATCCTGTCTCTCCTCCCTTTTGTGACTACATTCCTTGAGAAGATCTTGGCAACTTCCTTTTCTTTGATTCTTCTTAATCCTCAGTATTCTGGCTTGAGGCCTCATCATTCAGCTGAAATGGCTTTCTCTAAAGCTACTATTGATTTCCTAGTAGTGAAATCCAGTGACCTTTTTTCAGTCCTCATCCTTCTTGACCTCTCTGCATCCTTTGACTCTGGTGACCACCCCCTTCTCCTAGGTACCCTCCTTTCTCTGGCTCTTTGGGGAACCCTGCCCTTTCCTGACTTTCCTCTTCCCCAAACGCCCTATCACAGTTTTTCTTGGTGGATCATCTTGGTCACCCCAGCTGACCTTGAGTGTCCCTCAGGCTCTATCCGGGGCTCTCTTCTCCCTCTAGACCCTTTCATTTGGTGCTCTCATCATGGTTTCAGTTATCATTTGTATGCAGATGATTCTCAGATCTGTTTATTCTGCCCCGGCCTCTCTCCTGCTCAGTTCCAAGGCAGAAAAGAGTGCTTGTGGTCACTCATAGACATGGGCCAGGAAAGGAATAAACACCTCGCCCCTTATCATACCACCTTGGAAGAACGAAAATTTACAGGTCCCTAGAAGTATCTCTGAAAACAGCTGCATAAAACCCCTGAAGCTTGGGACAGTACATTCTCCACACTGGAAGCAGACCCCTACCTTAACAAGGAGTTTAAAACTCAAGTAATTGGCTGGGATCATGAATAAACAAAGGTCCAAAAAAAGTCAGACCATAGAATCTTTCTTTGCTAACAAAGAAGATCAAAACATACAACCAGAAGAAGACAACAAAGTCAAAGCTCCTACATCCAAGAAAAATATGAATCCATCTCAGGCCATGGAAGAGCTCAAAAAGGAGTTTGAGAAACAAGTAAGAGAAGTAGAAGAAAAACTGGGAAGAGAAATGAGAGTGATGCAAGAAAATCATGAAAAACAAGTCAACAGCTTGCTAAAGGAGACCCCAAAAAATACTGAAGAAAATAGCACCTTAAAAAATAGCCTGACCCAAATGGCAAAAGAGGTCCAAAAAGCCAATGAGGAGAATAATGCCCTAAAAAAAATTGGCCAAAAGGAAAAGGAGGTCCAAAAGCTCACTGAAGAAAATAATTCCTTAAAAATTAGAATGGAGCAATTGGAAGCTAGTGACTTTATGAAAGAAGCTGTTCCTCATCTCTCTTAATGCCAGTGCCTTCCCACTTCCCATCTCCAGTTGACCCTTATCTGTCTTGTATATGTACGTTGTTGTTTACATCTTGTCTCCACCATTAGTTTGTAAGCTCCCTGAGGACAAGGGCTGGTTTTGACTTTTGTAATTTCAGAAATTAGCATAGTTGTTGAACATAGTGGGGCTTAATAAATGCTTGTTGACTTGACTAATAGAACACATATTTTACTGCCTGAGGACAGGGGCTCTTTTTGCCTTTCACTTAGCATATTTGATGGAACATAGTAGGTGCTTAATAAATGCTTGTTGACTTTCCTTGACTAATAGGACACACATACATACACACACACACACACACACACACACATATTATATACATATACAGACTCTTTTTCAAATCCTTGTCCAGAATGTTGCCTCTAAAATAATTCCTGTACCTATTTGATGAATGTCTTAGGCAGTATATGTTCTGTCAAAGCCTGGGCCTAAAGGATTGATGAAGCTACATGGCCTTAATAATTTAAAGGGCCTGCTTATCCCTTAGTCACATGCTCATGGGAAATCATGTAAGACTGCATCCAGAAGGAAAGGAACTCTTTGGATTTGGACAACTGTTTATTCCCTTGGGCTTTTGTTAGTGACCTGGGTGTGTCCCCACGGGAGGGACTGTGGAGAGCTGCACCTGTATATGCTTAGAGAAAGCTTGTGTGTATGTTTAGTGAAAGGGCTTTTTTTTTTATTATTATTTGCCTCACTGATTCAATCTTTCCAGATAATGAATTGACATTTGGGTCAGGTCTGCACCTGGCCAGAGGCAGTCTATTTATTCATTTAACAATCATTAACCACCTATTACGTACAAAGGTTGGAGTTCCGGTTGGATACTGTGGCTACGTTTAAGAGCCACTTTCCCACACTAACAATGAAATAGTACTTCATTTCACAGATAAGGAAATGGAGGTTCTTAACTTTTTTCATGTCATGGAACCCCTTTGGCACTGTAGCAAAACCTGTAGATACCTCCTCAGAATGTCTTAAAATAACATAGGTATGATTACAAAGGAAGCCAATTATATTGAAATACAGTAATCGAAATATTTAAAAGTAAGTTCATGGACTTAAGAACTCCTGAATTAATAACGGTAGCTAGCATGCATGCATACATATATAGAGAGAGGGGAGGGAGGAGGGAACGCTATGTGACTGAGATGATGCTAAGTGCTTTTCAAATACTATTTCATTTGATCTTCACAACACCGTGGGAGGTAGGTGGTGTCATTATCCCCATTTTATAGTTGAGGAAGCTGAAGCAGACAGAGGTTAAGTGACTTGCCTAGAGTCTTCCTGACTCCAGGTCCAGCTACCTCAGTGCCTTGCTAGTAAGGAGCCGAGTTGAGATTAGCACCTGGCTCTGCCTCGATGTCTGGGGCTCCATTCTCCACTCTTCTTTTGGATGGTCACATTGTGTGCTCCTCCAGCCATTGATCTCTGTAGCCCCTCTGAAACACAAATGCAAAGCTCCCCCACCCCCTCCCAGGTCATCTTAGTCTCACCCTCTTATTTTACAGATCAGAAAACTGAAGTTTTAAGTGACTGACTTGACAGCGAAAAGCTAACAGTAAAAATAGTTGTTTGTCTTGTGTTCTCTTGCAGGGCTGACAGCTCTTTTAATTTTATGGCCTTCTTCTTCATCTTTGGTGCACAGTTTATCCTGACCATCTTTCAAGCAATCGGTTTCCCCAAGTGGGGAGCATGGTAAGCAAAATTCTTCCAGGAATTTTTCGAACATTTGAATGATGGCATTCATTCCCTTCTGAGACAGTAGAAAAGGGAGGCCAAGATGGTGAGGAGTCCTGAAATCAGAATGATTAAAAGAAGTGGGAGTATTCAGCCCGGAAAAGAGGGACACCGGAGAACTGTCTTCCAGAAGTGGAGTGGTTGCATAGTAGAAGAAGTCTTGTTCTCTGTGGCTCCAGGCCCCCTTCCTCTCTTGTGGCATCAGGGTTGGGGGCAATGTAGAGAACACTAGGATTTATTTAAATGCTTTACTTGCCAACAGTTAGTTTTCCCTGACAGCTAAAATTCCCTTCTGTCTCAGAGATCCTGGAATGATGTTCACTACTAGGGCTGGCCTTTCCCTCTTCACATCCCTGCCACGCTCCCACGCAGCGATCCTCCCTCTCACACAGTGGCCCAGAAGGCCCTGCCTCAGTGACATGGTTCTGTGCATGCTCAGGCCCAGTGTCTGGGGAGCAGACCCCTTTACTGTTCTGGGCACAGTCTTACGGTACTTGTGTATTTGCCGTGCATTCAGCCTCGTCAGAGCCAGCCCTCTGAAGGATGACTGGAAGGTCTTTTGATTTGATCAGACCACAGTGGCAGGGTTGTCTTTAATTCTAGGTGTATGTGACCCTGGGCAAATCATTTTAACCTTTTTGTCTCCATTTCCTCATCTGTAAAATGAGGACAATAGTAGCACCTCCTTCACAGGGTTATGGAGATGATATTTATAAAACACTTAGAACAGTGCCTGGCACACAGTAGGTGCTATGTAAGTGCTACTTCTTGTCATTATTAGTGGTGGTAGTGGTAGTAGTAACAGTTGTAGTAGTGGAAGTAGAAGAAGAAGTAGCAGCTGCTGATCCCATACTCCCGAGCCAACCCTTCCCTACTCCTTCTCAGCCCTCCAATTCCACTGGTCCTTGGGAATCATTAACAAACTCTCCTTCATCTTAGGTTTCTTCCTCACATTCATCCTGTCTTCTATGCCCTCAGCACCTGGATCTTTCCAGATTCTCTGTTCCGTATCACCTTGCGCCCCTAACCCCTCCCCCAGTGCTGGGGCTTCTCTCTTCTCAAGGAGGAGCTAGTCTCGCCTCCTGGACACTGGTGATACCCTACTACTTTTCCTCTGCCTCTCTGACCGTTCCTTGTCTGTCTCTTCTGCTACTTTATCAGCATCCTCCCATGCCCTGGTTTTCTCTGCTAGGGCTTCTCATCAGCTCCCGGGGTCTCCATTTTCTCCTCAGTGCTCCCTTCTCCTGAACTCCTGCCTGACATTGCCCATTGCCTGCTAGCCATCTCCAGCGGAACTTCTCTTCCGTACTTCAGAACTCAGCACCTTCGTCCTCCCAATGTGCCTGCTGGTCTTGAGGGGCCCACCCTCCTCCCGTTTACTCAGGCTCCTAATCTAGGCGTTATCCTTCAGTCCCTTATCCGCTCTGGAGATGGCGGTGATATCTCCTGTGCCTGCAGCCTTCTCCCCATTTATGGCATTGTCACTCAGGTTCAAGCCCTCGCCACCCTTCACCTCAAGTGTCATGACAGCTTCCTGATTGTCTTCCCACTTGGAGGTTCTCCCATCCTCTACACAGCTACAGATACAATCTTCCTAAGTCAGGGGTCTGATCATGTCATTCCCCTTGCCCAGAAGTCTTCCAGAGGTCCCCATTGCCTGTAAAATAAAATCCAAGCCCAGCCAGGTATTTAAGACATTCCACAGCCTGATTGCAGCCCCACTCCCCAGTCTAGCTTTATTTCACAGTTTGCACATCTGGCTTGAGAAAAACGAAAATTGACTGTTCCTGAAATAAATCATCTCCCACCTGCATTTATTTACCTAAACTGTGCTTTGTGCCTGGAGTGTGCTCCTTCTGCTTGTCTGCCTCTCAGAATCCTTCTCATTCTTCAAGTCTTCACTCTGGCACCACCTCCCTCACACAACTTTCTTCCTTCCTTCTCCCCCTGTTCCACATTGTTCATGTTTTCTCCTTCCTCATATCACCTTGCCTTTTCTCATTTGAGTAGCTGAAGCTTCCTGCACATGGGGTAACATAAGCTCCGTGAAGGCAGGGATATCTGACTTTTTCGTTATAGCCCCAGTGTCTAGCTCAGTGCATTGGACGTGGTCAGTGCTCTGTTGCAAGAGTTTTTTCCTCCCCCAAACTGAGAGATTGAGGAGGTGAGAGTGACAGGCAAGATGGTTGCTAAAAGAAAGAGGGACCTTGAAGCATTTTTTTAATGTACAGAAAAAGAGAAGTAAGCACAGATAGGTGGGATAACTCTGAAGTGCACAAAGTGTGGCAGAGCGAGCCATACTGAAGAAAGATTTGTGGTTTCATGTCCTGTCCTCTCTATTCTGCTTTGTAGAAGAAAGCACTCACTTATTTGGTGTTTTAAGTTCAGAATTTTAAAAATTCGTTTAAGATAGCAGGTACTTAATTAATGTTGACAGTTTGAATTGAACCGAGCTAATCAGTCAGTCTTGGGCTTCATTAAGCTTCCAGGAATAAGGAAGTGATGGTCCCTCTGTCCAGCTTCAGGCAGACCATAGCCTTAGTATTCATTGTGCTTAGCTCTAGGTGGACATTGAGAAGCCAAATTCACGTCCACCTGAGTAATGAAATAGAAATGTGTTGATAAGGTGCCTAAGATGGCCTGAGCCCTGGGCTCATCACAGGAGATACAGTTGGAAAAGGGAGACAGTCCCTGCCCTCCTGGGGCTCTTGTTCTTAGCAGAGGAGACAACATGTAAAGGGGGGTTCTGATTCACCCCATGGGGCCTCTCAGCTTCCTTCTAGCTCTGAGAGTCTAAGCTGCTCTGTTAGAGGACAGCTGGTTAGCCTTGGTCATGACCTGCTGTGTGCATGTCCTCACAGGCTGCCCTCTAGAAGCTGGGAAGACAAGCGCACCGTGCTGTCATGCAAAAGTGATGATGCTGCAGAATATAAAGAAAAAAAGGGGGACTGGGAGAAGCCTAACTCCTGGTCAGGAAGAAGAACCTCACAGAGGCAGGCTTGAGAGGCAGTATTGTGAAGTTTAAAAAAAAAGGGAAGGTGTCAGGAGGCCTAGGCTGGACATCAGCACTGCCACTTCTGCTGTACCCATGGCCTTGGGTACATCGCTTCCCTCTCTGGGCCTTAGTTCATCTGTACAGTGGTGCTATGTACCAGGAGGAACCAGCTAGGGCCTGGCCAGTAGTCCCCTTTTCAGCCTCAGCAAGTTCTGTAAGCCATCTTCCAAATGGAAGAGGGATTTTTTTTTTAAAGGCATTTGAGGTTAAGTGACTTGCCCAGGGTCACACAGCTAATAAGTGTCAAGTATCTGATCTGAGGCTGGATTTGAACTCAGGTCCTCCTGACTTCAGGGCCAGTGCTCTATCCACTGTGCCACCTAGCTGCCCTGGAAGAGGGATTCTTGTCTGCTTCAATTTACTGATGTAATTGCTGCTTTATAAGGCACTGCAATAAAAAAACAATGAGGAGTAATAGAGGCAGCTGGGTCATACAGCGGATAAGAGCTCTGGGCCTGGAGTCAGGAAGAGCTGAGTTCAAATCCAGCCTCAGACACTGACTAACTGGGTGAACCCAGGCAAATCGTTCCACCTTTGCCTGCCTCAGTTTCCCCAACTGTAAAACGAGGATAATAACAGCCCCTCCCTCCCAGGGTTGTTGCAAGGTTCAAATGAGGTTATAATTATACAGTATTTAGCCCAGTACCTGGCACATAGTAAGTGTTACATAAGTGCCAGCTATTATTATTATTACTCAGAGGATAATTGTAAGGAAGGGACTGTATTTTTTAATAATTTCCCATAAACTTTTACATTTATAAAGTTTGTAGAATATGCTTTACTAAAAATATTTTAGAAAGTAGCCACAGAAATGTGAATTTTGTGGTTATTATTCCAATAATAAAAAGGATGGTATAGTATGGCTAGACTGGAGGTGGGCATGTGCCACATATATCCAGGGACAGACAGATTTGTCTTTGCTTTTCACATCCCATTAGACTCTGAGGCAGTCTACAATCATTTATTAAGATCTGCCAAGGAGGAAGCGATCCCTTCTTTCAAGGAGCTAACCTTGTCATGAGGGGAGACAGTCCACCAAAAAATGAACACCCTTTCTATTTGCTCTCTTACTTATCAGTTACAGGGCTGGATAGTTTGGAAGGAGAGAAGCTTCCTATAAAAGGTGGTACTTGGGCCAAGCCTTGAAGGAAGAAAGGGATTCTGGCATGAGGGATGGGGATTGCAAAGGTGTGGAGATGAGAGATGAGGCACCGAGGGAGGCACAGAGGCTGGTTTGGCTAGATCACAGAATATGAGAGGGTCAGTAATCTGTAAGGAAGCTGGAAAGATTGGTTGGAGCCTGGTTGTGTTGGGCTTTAAAAGCTAAATAAGTTTATAGTTGAACCTATGGTCAGTAGGAAGCCACTGGGATTTGTTAATCCTAGGAACGACATCAGATCTGCGCTTTAAGGAAATTACTTTGACAACAGGCTGGGAGAGGCTGGAGACAGACAGGAGTGAGGAGGCCAGAGGTGGTGGGGTCTGAGCTAATGTGACAGCTGTTCGAGGGGAGAGGAGGGCACCCACCTAGAGATGTGGGGGTGGGAGAAATGGGGAGATTCAGCAAGGGATTATCACAGGGGAGTGCCCCTCCAGGGTGACAGTGATGGCGCCTTCAGAAGGCCTTGTTTCATTCATAGTTCGTGTGTGTGTGAGATATGTGTCTCCAGAATATCCACCTTGGAGTGTCCAATAGGTAAGTTGTGACAGAAGCATGAGGAGAAACTAAGGATGTGTATATAAATCTGAGTCATCTACACGGAGATGATAATTAAACTCGTGGGAGCTGATAAGGTCACCAAATGAGAGAGAGAAGAGAGCCTAGGACAGGGGCCCCTAGGGAATACCCACGTTGGAACCAGGAGAGAGTTGAGTGTTATTGTAGTTCAGTTGTTTAAGTCAT